TGTCTACATGATCTGTCTATCATGCGCTAAGACAGATCAATGAAAGGTCTCTATTGACATGTTTCTTATTTTTCACAGTGTTCTTTATAGTAAATTTGCTGCAGTTTATTTGGTACAGAAGTAGTCCTAACCATTTACCTTTCTTCTCTATAGCACTCATCATCATTTTTAAAGCACTGTGTTTTTTGTTTGTTTAAAGCTTACTGTCTTGAATTTTATCTTACCTGATAGTAACGTATATAGACTTTTCCTTTTTTTTAAACTCCATGATATGGCTTTAGTTAAAAAATGTTTACAATTTCTCTGGGTCAAGAGCTTCCCATCTATTAAATGAAAATGTTGGAATAGATATTATCTTAAGTTCTCTTTTAATATTTAATCATTTTCAAAAGAAAAGGGAACAGCTAGGAAAATAATGAGATTCTTTAGAGAATCCTGGATTTTTTGATAGACTGAAAAATTATAGTCCTCTCTAACAGAAAATTGTGCTTTTCTAATTATCATACGTTTATTTACCACCTAGAATCCAGTTGGTAGTTTGCCTCTGGTATTTTAATATTTCCTATTCCATAGCAGGTTTGTGAGGAATAATATAATATTTGGCAATTTCTGCTATTAACTTTCTTATTTTGGTTAACAGCAACATTAACCACCTTTCTCCAAAAATGGAACTGTGGCACTAAGTTTTGACTCCTCCCTCTTCTTCAAGACCTAGGTACAGTGTGTCAAGTTCTTTTAATTCAGTCCAGCAACACCTCCCAAATCTCAACTATTCTATTTTCACTATATGCTAAAATAGTGGAACAAAAGGATTAAATGATTAAACCCTTTTCTGATAGCTCAGAGGCTTTTTGAGGGTCTTATGGGACTTGAGGTTTTCATTATGAATATGGTTACTGAAGAGCATGAGAAAATTGCAATTCTTATTTGAGCCCTGGAGTTATGGGTTTTTATTCAATAAGTTACTGAGTTACTAGAGTGCCCAGCACTCCTTTAGATCCTAAGAATACAGCAGTAAGAAAGACATAAGTTCTGGTCCTCTTGGAACTTATATTCTACTTGGGGGAAACAAATGAAAATATAAATAAGTGAATACATGAGATAAAATAAAATAGTGTTATGGTTAATTTTATGTGTTAACTTGACTGGGCCACAGGGACCCCAGACCTTTGGCTAAACATTATTCTGGGTGTGTCTGTGAGGGTATTTCTACATGAGATTAACATCTTATTCAGTAGACTGAGTAAAGCAATTGTCCTCTCTAATGTGAATGGGCCTCATCCAATCAATTGAAGACCTGAAAAGAACAAAAAGGCAGACTAACAAGGAACTCCTGCCTGGCCGTTTGAGATATTAGTCTTTTCTAGTAGCTTTAATAGCATGTTCAAAGTTCCTGAGACAGGGATAAACTTGGTCTGTTCCAACTGGAGAAAAATGAGGGAGGGTGTAGCATGAGATAATGGTAAAGACATAGGCAAAAGGCATATCATGAAGGGTTTTGTAAAGGACAGTAAGGAATCTGAATTTTATTCCAAGTGTAATGGGAAGCCATTAGATGGTTTTAGGCAGAGAAGTTAATGCCTCAGGTTTTAAACTATCGCTTTGGTAGTTCTACAGAGAATGGACAAGAACGGATGCAGGGAGACTGGTAGGCAGTTCCTGAAGTACTTCCAGGTAAGAGATGACATGGCCTGGGCTACAACAAGATCCATGAAAATGTTGACAAGTGATCAGATTCGAGATATGCATTTTTTAAAGTGGACTAATTTGCTGATTTTTTAAAAAAAAATCATTTTATTAATCACAGGTGAGGCTGAGGCCATAGAGGACAGTGGTTAAGATTACAGGCTTCACAGTCCTACTGCCTGGGACTGAATGCTGATTCTACTACATCCTTTACCTCTGACCTTGGGCAAGTTTCTTAACCTTTCTGTGCCTGTTTCCTCACTCATGGAAAAAACAGAGGAAAACAGACTCCTTATGAAGATTATATAAGGTAATACATGTAAAACTTTGATTAGTAATAGATATTAGTTTTATTATTATTTACAATCTTACTGGGCATTTGTTCTTTTTTATTTTTTTAATTGTGAATTTCTTTTTCATGTCCTGTACGCAGTTTTCTCCTGGATTTTAATTTGGTTTATAAATGTGTATTTAAATACCAGATTGGGTCTGCCACATGTATCACTAAAATTGTCACCAAGCTTTGCCAATTTACTTTATTTATGGTAATCGTATCAAAAAAGAGAATATAATTTTTATGAATGCAAATTTAGTTAAGTTTCTCTTTTATTGCTTGTGAATTTGACATTATGCAAAAAAGGCAAGCTAGTGAGTATAGAAAATACACTCAAGATGGTTACCTTGGAGTAACTGGGACTTTCGTACACTGTTAAGAGTGTAATTTTGGACAACTACTTTGGAAAACTGTTTGGTAGCATCAATAAAAGGTACTCTTATGAATAACCTATGACTCAGCAGTTCTACTCTGGTATATATACAAAGAACTGTGTACATATGTGCAACAAAAGACATCTACAAGAAAGTTCATAGCAACAATATTTGTAATTGTCCCAAAATAAAAACTACCTAAATGCCAATCAATAATAGAACAGATAAATAAAGTTGTGCTTTATTCACATAATTGAATAATACATAGCAATGATATTAAATGAATCACAACTACCTGCAACAATTCAACATGAATCTGACAAACAAAATATTAAGCAAAAGAAGCCAGACACGGAGTACACAGATTATATAAAGTAAAAAGGCAGGGGGGCCGGCCCCGTGGCTTGGCAGTTAAGTGCGCCCCCTCCACTACTGGCGGCCCGGGTTCGGATCCCGGGCACACACCGACGCACCGCTTGTCCGGCCATGCTGCGTCGGCGTCCCACATACAGCAACTAGAAGGCTGTGCAACTATGACATACAACTATCTGCTGGGGCTTTGAGGAGAAAAAGGGGGAAAAAAAAAAAGGAGGAGGATTGGCAATACATGTTAGCTCAGGGCCAGTCTTCCTCAGCAAAAAGATTGGCATGGATGTTAGCTCAGGGCTGATCCTCCTCACACACACACACAAAAAAGATAGGCAGAAATCATCTATGGTGATAGAAGTTGAACAGTGGTTACCTTGGGGTGGAGGTTATGACTTGGAAAGGTGCAGGAGTCGAATAGGTGTTAGGGTAATGTTCAATTTCTTGATCAATTGTTTGTGCTGCTTACACAGGCGTGTTCACTTTGAAAATTAACTGAGTTTGAGGAAAAAACTAGAGACACAGAGAAGCTGCCAGATAGGGGCACGTGGTCAAAAAAAGGTGTATCTCAGTAGAGCAAAGCTTTGAGCTGAGGGTAGAAAGGCGGTAAAGTGAGCTATGTTCAATAGCTAAGAGCGCAGGATGAATCTGAAAGAGAAAGATTCCAAAGAAAGTATGAAGAAAAAGGATGAAGTTCTGAGGAAAAGGAAATATCCTTGAAAGGAAATATCCTTTATTCTAAGAGTAAAATAAAGAAGAAATAAGGAACCCTGGATTCAATTCATTAAAACCACAAATATTCACAAAAACCATGTATACCTGGCATTGTTCTAGGGGCTGGAGATACAGCAGTAAACCAAATAAAACATACTCTTCGTTCACATTCTAGTGGAGTAAAATTATAAGAATTTACCAGAAATTATTACTTTATTTTTTTTTTCAAATGGTCTACTTTCATTCTTTTTTGCACGTGGCTGTCCAGTTTTCCCAGCACCATTTATTTCGTTTTTTGTGAGGAAGATCAGCCCTGAGATAACATCCATGCCAATCCTCCTCTTTTTGCTGAGGAAGACTGGCCCCGAGCTAACATTGGTGCCGATCTTCTTCCACTTTATGTGGGACACCGCCACAGCATGGCCTGACAAGCAGTGCGTTGGTGCACGCCTGGGATCCAAACTGGGGCTGCCAGCAGCAGAGTGCACACACTTAACCACTACGCCACGGGGCCAGCCCCAGAAATTATTACTTTAGATTGTAACCCAATCTATAGCAAATGCCCATTGAAAAAGATAATTAAACATAGTGTCATTTGAAAGACAGATATTTATTTCTTCAGATATTCTAGTTTTATTTTTTCTAAAAAACGAGGTATGACATCTAAAGGTACCACAGGTAAAAAATATGGTAAAATGTACTAATCTTAAGAACAAACTGACACACTTTTATACATTTATATATTTGTGTACCTACCACCCAGGTCAAAATACAGAACTTTTTGGCACTCCAGAAGATTCCCTCACGTCCTTTCCCAGTAAATAACCCCTCAGGGGTAACCACTATTCTGACTTTTAACACAAGAGATTAGTCTTCCTAATTTTCAAATTTCATATAAATGGAACCATACAAAATGAGCTCTTTTGTTTCTGGCTTCTCTCACTCCATATGTTTATGGGATTATCCATATTGCTGTAAGTAGCAACATGGATGCTTTTTTTTAATTGTTGTGTAGTATTCCATTGCATGAAATACTATAATTTATCCCTTTTTCTGTTGATGTTCATTTGTATTCTTTCCAATGCTGGGTTGTTTTGACATATATTCTCCATTTTATCCTTGATCAAAACAGACCATCAAAATGCTGGGTTTATTAACTACAAGAAGTCACGCTATAATGTATTCATTGACCTAGGTGCCAATGAAAAGCTTACTTCTGCTAAGAAATGTTCATATTTATCCTTATGTACAATGCCAATTATGTAATGAATTTCTGCTCTGGTTTGCTTTACCGACAATAATGAAATGAAATTCAAATTTGAAGCCCGACTTTAATCTCTCTGAATGAATGCATTTCTGCATAACTACATTTTAACTCTTTCTTGGTCTTAATCTTCCAACTCTATTTCCTTTGAAAATATGCTTTATCTATATAGGATTTTCCAATTTACTGTATGGATTACTGCAATCCCCTTAAACTGTACTGTCAAACAAGGCAGGGAACAAATATACTATTTAAAATTTACCTGGGACTCAGTCATTGCCTCTTCTTTCTGGGAATGGACAGGGCTCAGAAGGCAGAGCTGGAGAAGAGAATAAAAGCCATTAGACCAGGGTGCTTTATGGTTTCAGAAACCTGTACCTACAAGGTAGATTAAAGGTCACCCTGTAGCAAAATGATACTTGGATCCATCAGGAAGGCCAAGAAATTCATACCACAGAGTTAATAATAGGTATAAGATGACTGGTATGCTCACGTGGAGCTCAGGCATAAGGTGGGTAGAAATAGGAGTGCATATGTGGTAAATGTCCCATGAATTTATCAATAGCTCTGTATCAGAGAATAAACAGTTCATGTGGAGCAGGAAGATATATAGCTTCATGACAGCATATAACTAAGAAAATTATGACACTGCAAAACACTTAAAGTACCTTCTGTATTGAGACATTTAAAGAGAAATATTTAGGGCCGGCCCCGTGGCTTGGTGGTTAAGTGCACGCGCTCCGATGCTGGTGGCCCGGGTTCGGATCCCGGGCGCGCACCGAGGCACCACTTCTCCGTCCA